TCGATTTATGCGTGTCATCCTTTGCGCAGGGGCCATGCTAATCTTCTCTGTATCGTTCCAATTTTAACAGATGTCCCAAAGGACGTCCGTCCTTCATCTTTATACTTCCGTTGATTTCATTTCTGATGTTCATATCGTCTGTTCTCTTAATGATGCTCATTCGTATGTATTTGTTAGTAGCACAAAGGGAGTGGAGGGGAGGATGGAGGACAAGGGATAGGGAGTTCTATAGGAGTATGGGGCAGGGGAGGTAGGGGCAACGGGAAGGAAAGAAATATGTGGAGGGCAGGATAGAGTATGACAGGCAAAGAGCAGGGGAGAGGCGTATGACGAGCTTCACAGATTTCTAAATATTTACCGCTGAAACAGACTGCTCTAGCAAAAAAAACCTATGGCGAGTGGCCACCCCTACAGACCGGATAGGACCGGTTCTGGTGTGGGCTATGGAAGCACCACATCCAATTTTCGCAGTCACAGTTGCTGCATTGAATGCCACGGCGCAGACAGATGTCACAGGCTACATGGCTCATACATGCTGGGAACACAGAGGCACGTCGACCGCAATAATAGAGGCATTGCCGTTCCAGCCCCTGTCTACAAATTGGACATGACATGTCGGGGTGCCGTACATGAGTACAGTACTGATTGCCATCGTACGTACGGAAGCAAAAACTCGCATGGACTATTCCTTCATAATCCTCACGGCACAAGGCACGCGAACCACATGCTAGTTCAATCTCCGGCGGGTCATCACAAAGCGGCATGGAGCATCTTTCTTGGGCTTCCTCAGTATGTATTCCTTCTCTATGGGCAGACGACGACAGGGAGGATCGGTCCAACGCAAGGGCGTTCAGCTGCTGCAGGATTTGATCCACAACAGCTCGCCCTGGTGGTGATAAACTATGAGCACATCGCTCTGCCGGTGGTTCATATAGAAGTCTATTTTCCTCCTCGGACAGCTGTGTCCGTCATTCGTCTGGCAAGAAAGAGGGAGATCCGTCAGCGGTTGCCGTAGGTGTATGACCAACACCGCATGTGGGACATGCTAGAAGAGGATGTGGACGGTGATGGCACCGGGGATAGTCCGCACAATAAAGACACATACTTTCTATGACAGCTTAAAGGAAGCATTGAAGACACATGGCATGTTGCTGACATGTCATTAGTATGGAAGGCTGACGTGCACAGTTATTTAAGCATGGCAGATCAAGGCCACAACGGCATGCTGGACAAGTAATCAGGGGGTGGGGGAGATGAGCACAGGACAGGGGATCACAATTTTCGTGTGAGAGGCTAGCAGTGACCATCCCTTCATAGTGTTCGGAGCAGAGGCTACGTCGTGTACATGCCAACCGAGCTGCACCTGTGCGACGATACAACGGGAGGGCACAGCCATCATCCTGTCGAGAGGTCCTTTCACTGTTTGTGGTAGAATCAGCCGGATTGCTCTTCGGGGGGTGCAGTGCTTGCAAGTGCTCATCAACATACTGTTCCTGATGGACGAGCCAGACTGAGTGATCCTCCAGCATTTGGTGATAGAAAGAGTTAATATTTCCCACTGTGTGCACCCTACCGCCATTGTACCATAGGGTCCATGAATTATCTGCAAAGTTAAGAGCACTGAAGTGACCTGGACAATATAAGATATATGCCCAAATATTTGGATCCCTGCCTGGCACGTGGTTTTGGGGAGCAGGCTGGAATTGCAGTCGCCTACCCATAAATGCCATAGCCAGGACTTCTATGTTCACACCAGGCGCAGCGCTGTCGTCCTCTGGGCAGACGGCACGGTGCTCTTCTTCTATCCAGCGAACAACGTCTGCGAAATCAGAAACGGTATAAGGATTACAATTGTAAGCAAGGAGACATACATTAATGGCATAGTACGCACAGTGCCCTCGCTGTAGCGCTATGACATTGTCTGATTCCGCAGGTTGCGTGGGGGATCCGTTCACGGCAGGGGGATCCTCGTTCGATTCTGCAGGTTGCACAGGTGGCGGAGACTCATTGTGGTCTTGACCAATTGGCTCCGGTATGTGCTCCGGAGAGAGATGATCTTCAACCGGGGGCTCCATTGGGTAATCAGGAGACGGGTCATTGTCATTTGGGGCAGGGGAGCGAGCAGGGTTAGGTGGATGAGAGAGGGGCGGGTGAGGAGGGGGAGAACTGGGTGGACCAAATGTGGGAATCGGAAGCTAATCAGCCTCACTTGTGCTCAGGGCGGCTGCTAATCATGCAAACGCTGCACAAGTAGCTGCACCTCGTATCTGGTGCACTCGTAAGCCTGCAGCACTGAAGAAATCATCGCCACATTGCGGGCATCGGACTCGATGTGCACTATTCCTCGCTAGTGTATACTGAAAGCAACGATGTCGTTCCGTACGGTTGCGAGCATGTCGTCGGAGCAGATCTCTAACCCCTGCAGGGAGGGCGGTGATCATGCCATTCAACGACAAACGCGGCCGCTGTCTTGGAGGCTGCTGTGGAGACGGGGAACATCTCCGCCGAAGAGGCATCTGTAACGATCGATCTACCAACGGATACCTCGACCGACAGGGCCTTTGTGACGACCGATCTGACCATGAGTGCGTTGATGATGAGGTCGATGATGAGGAAGTAGAGGAAGAAGTAGGGTAAGAGGAAGAAGAAGAAGATGATGCAGATGACTGAGAGGATGCTGCAATAGTGGACGTCGGTGGGGGTGGCGTCGATGGTGGTGGTGCTGCTGCTGATAATGGTGGTGGTGGTGGTGGTGGTGGTGGTGGTGGTGGTGGTGGTGGTGGAGGCGGCGATGGCAGCAGTGGCGGCGGAGGAGGTATACCTTCAGCAGCAGCAGCAACAACAACAGTCGCTGTATTGGTAGGATGCTGGTTTTCATCCCTTACTGCCATTTCGGTAACGTGCACATTGTTCAATGGGGCTGGCATGATCTCTGGCTGAGTTGGCGTATCGACATTAGAATGTGCCATTTCAGCACGGATAACAGGGGAGGTGTGTGTGTGTGTGTGTGTGTGTAGGGGTGTGTGTGTGTGTGTTTTGTGGATTTATCACCACCACAGCCCTGGTTCCACTAGATGAGTAAATCCA